ATAGAGTATATACATGGATCTTTCCTCCTGCCTGTTTAGCTGTGCTTGTTTCTGTGTGAGCGTAGATATATACATGGATCTTTCCTCCTGCCTGTTGTATATGTACGTACCATGTGTCTGTGTGCGTATCATGTGTATATGCAAGTGTAAACGAGTGCACCTGTGAACTACACTTATTTCCATGCATACACATATACGTAACATATACGTGAAAATCGAAACATACTTGAACATATACACATGAATGGGTGCGCATATCTTGCATGTACCACATTCATATACACATGAATGTGTATGACTTGTTGTATAAACGTGATACAAACAGCCCTTGTCTACTTACCTTTGATCCATGCTCCGCCTTGACGCGCGCCGCAGTGACCAAATGCGCAGTCGACGACATGATCTGTACACGAGACATCAAGGCATGAGTTCAGTGTTGGTTGCAAATGCACCGGTCCAGTGTCTATCTGAACGGGACAGCGATGGGGCCACCCCATTCATAAAAATGGACCGGTCTGTGGGTGTGAGTGGTTTGGTTATGAAGGACAGGCCTATGGCGCAAGTGCTAGCTACACGGTTATATCAGTGTGACACTGAGTTGCTATTGGTAGATGGTGCATTGCATATGGCGTTACCACAGAGCGTAGCCAAAAACCGGCGGGAGCGGGAGAAAGAGGACCGGTCCTTTAAAATGGGACAAGGACAGGTAGCAACACAGCCTGCCGCCATAACCAATCACAACTATAACTAAAACTACAACTACCGCAACCGATTGTTAGTATGAGACCAGGCGTACCAAACGGACAGGACAGGACATACAACACCACAGCACACTATACTGGCGCATGTGCGAATGTCCACAGTAACTAGGCGGTGCTGTAGAAGCAGTGCGTAAGTCACGTGGGTACACACTTCAGAGGCCCATGAAAGACCCCCTGAACCTTCCCATCTGCCCTAGCCTACTCCACCACACACCACCCTCGTTCTAACTGAGCATCCAAATGTTATTTATAAATCACACACCTCTTCGTATGCGTTCACGTACAGTCTCTGCTTGTGCACGTGTGCGTATATGGTATGAGCCCTGTTGTGTGCACACGCATGCTACCACATCGTTGAAACGACACATCACACACATACCATCCTCCGCAGGAGAAACCTAGTTTACAAGGACTACAAACTAGGTTTTAATGCTGCATGGTTGGGTTACAACGTTAGACTGGAAAGACAACACACTCCACCGACTACAGTGCACAACAGTACAACTAAGTGTGTGCAGGCATGCCAGTACATACACGCACACACCTAAACACATACACACATCCACACACACCTAAACACATACACACGCACCTAAACACATCCACACACCTAAACACATACACACACCTAAACACATACACACACTTTAACACAAACACACACCTAAACACGGAATCTTACACACACACACCTAAATATATGTCCTTTCCTAGCACATACATCCACCTATACATACACATACGTTCTCTGTACACGTGCGGGTGTAGACCAGCAGGTTCAGTTAAAAACGAGCTAACGCACACACATACCTCGTTGGCTGCAGCAATCAATGCCTCGAACTTTCCGTTGCCGCTGACGGCCTCCTCGGATGCCTCCACCAGCACGTTCGCACCCCTTCAGGGCATGGACAATTGAAGAGGAGTAGTAGCACATGAGCACGATATATATCTATGAATATGCATAAATATATAA